ATAGATATTCTATCTGCAGTATAAGTGTTGGGTCAAGTAATCTATGTCCTTAAGGCATCATCATTCCTTCTCTTACAATCGTGACCCGACAAATGCGCTCACGACAAAAGCGCACCAACGAAACCGCGGTGAGAAAACCGCGAGTTCTAAATCGCGCCGACGAATGAGCGCAGAAGTGCGTTGACAAGTGCGCCGACAAAAGCGCGCCTTCAACGAACAAGTAATAACCGCGAGTTCTAAACCTAACCCTAACCCTGAACCTAATCCTGAACCTAACCCTTACCTTAACTTAAATTGCGCTTCTCTTAACTTAAATCGCGCTTCTGTCGGCGCGCTGTTGTGGGCGCGTTGATGACGCCGCAGTTTTCTCACCGCGGTTTCGTTGGTGCGCTTTTGTCGTGAGCGCATTTGTCGGGTCACGATTGTAAGAGAAGGAATGATGATGCCTTAAGGACATAGATCACTTGACCCAACACTTATACTGCAGATAGAATATCTATAGAGGGTAAGGGATTTACAGGCTACTCAAGCACAAGGAAGGTACTAAAATTAAGCCAGGCTTATGGAGACTCTGTGAAAGAGAGTGGGGGGCACTTAGGACTGATTTATAGTTGCCCGCAACTACCTGCAGCCATCCCTGCATACCTGCACTGCAAAGGGTTTGATGGATAAGCAGAAGTTGCAAAGGGCTGCAGATGGGCCGACTCAAACACCTCCCGAATCCCAATTGCACATTGTGCAGAGATGTGCACCCTGAATATGGTTCCTATTCCTACTGGGAGGAGGAAGAAGGCAAGGCACGTTGAAAGAAGGAAACGTGAACATTCGCTGACTTATAAAAAAGGATGCCTATAAAACTATCCCTGAATGACATGTTCCCTCATGGGCAGTGCAGGAGAAATTTGCTCCAGCCTTTAGTCTGACAATGCCCTGGAAGCAACAAGCAGTTTAATAACAGTACTTGGGTACTTAGAGCAGCCCAGGCAAGAGAAGAGCCCTTTCTCTCTCTGCTCTTGATGAATGAGAGGCTACTCTGAAGGCTACCTTGAAAGGGAAACCCAGATTCAGGAACTATGCAGACCAAGCCAGCTCCCCCTTCACATTAGAAATATTGTTTCCACTACTAGGACTAAGTCCGAAAAAGTGGAGTTTAAGGCTTTTTATAATATTAAATTTTTGCCTGACTTGTTATAATGACAGACTTTCCTTATTAGATAGAAACTCCTATTGTTTATTTGATCCACCATTCTTATTACCTGTATATCGACTGCCTCTATTAGTTACTAAATATGGATTTGATTTGGTTATAACACCCCGGCTCCTGGTTTGAAGTGGACCACTAATAGATGTTTTGGTCTGTTAAGTAACTTTGACTTTTCTCCGTCTCTCTTTTAATCATATATTCCATCAGATTTCTTGCTGTATTTCGTAAGCTACCCAGAGTTGTAACATATTGAGGCACCTTGTAAAATCTCAAGGAAGGAAGGGAAGGAGGAAGGGAATGAATGGCGTGGCACGACAGAACCGTGGTCCACTAAAGCGCGCCCAATTAAAGCGTGTACCTGACATCATCAGCAGCGCGACAAATACGACC